CTTATCGCATAGTAATAAATTATTAATATTAAAAATTATTTTTGTTTTTTCCTTTTACATATTTTGTTAAAAGGCCAAATAAAGACTTAAAACAAAAAAAAAGTAAATTTCTGTTTTGTTTTATTCTTGGATCAGGCTTATCGCATAATAATAAATTATTAATATTACAAATTTATCTTTGTTTTTACATATTTTGTTAAAAGGCCAAATAAAGACTTAAAACCAAAAAAAAAGTAATTTTTTTTTTTTTTTGGGATCAGGCTTATCGCATAGCAATAAATTATTAATATTAAAAATGTATTTTTGTTTTTACATATTTTGTTAAAAGGCCAAATAATGAATTCAAACAAAAAATAATCTTGACTTATCGCATAGTAATAAATTATTAATATAGAAAATGTATTTCTGTTTTTGTTTTTAAATATTTTGTTAAAAGGCCAAATAAGGAATTCAAACAAAAAATAATCTTGACTTATCGCATAGTAATAAATTATTTATATTAAAATTTTATTTTTGTTTTTTCTTTTTACATATTTTGTTAAAAGGCCAAAGAAGGAATTCAAATAAAAAATAATCTTGACTTATCGCATAGTAATAAATTATTAACATTAAAAATTTATTTTAGTTTTTTCTTTTTCATATTTTGTTAAAAGGCCAAATAAAGACTTAAAACAAAAAAAAAAGTTATTTTCTGTTTTGTTTTATTCTTGGATCAGGCTTTAAAGGGTTAGAGTTTGGCGTCCCACCCTGAAAACAACAGCCTGCCTCACCTGTTTCTTTTTACATATTTTGTTAAAAGGCCAAATAAGGAATTCAAACAAAAAAAATATATATTTCTGTTTTGTTTTATTCTTGGATCCGGCTTTAAAGGGTTAAAAAGTTTGGCATACCACCCTGAAAACAACATTCTGCTCACCTGTTTGACCATCTCGTCTCTGTCCCGGGGGCGGAAGCTGCGCGGTTCTCCGTTAGGGTCCAAAATGTAGGAGCACCTGAACAGAAACAGTCCTTTTTATAGTCCTTTTTATAGTCCTTTTTATCCAAACCTCCCCACCCAGCCTGGACTCAGGTCTGCTGCCTCTAATTATCAACACAATCTCATGACCAGCTCCAGCTCCATCACTCACTTCTTCAGCAGGATCTCGGAGGCTCCTTTGCTGTAGAGGCGGAAGCTTCCATCGGGGAGTTTTATCACCGTACTCATGGATTTACGCACCGAGTTGAAGGTGTACACCTGAGGCAGAAGGAGGGGAAAAGCACACGGTGAAGGCTTTTTTTTTATTTGACTGTATCTGTGCTTTAGTGTACTGAGGTGTTTTTTTTTATATCAGTTACGTCCCCTGTAGGGGGCGTGGCACTGGGCCTTTTTTTCCCCTCTATCCCAATTGTATTCTTTTTGTTCTGAAGTAAAAATGGTCTATGTGTTTTGTTTGTTTGATCTTGGTACGGGCTGTACTGGAAGTCAATTTCTCCCTGGAGATCAATAAAGTATATTCAATTCTATCAATTCAATTTTAAAAGGAGAGTCTTCTGCCGTCTTTAATCCACCGCACAAGCACAACGTTTCATTAAGAAATACTTAACACTTTTGACATTTTTTTTTAATGTAATTATACTTATTTGGTCCTGTTTTTGTTATGTTAATACAGGGATTTATGTCCGCTACGGGGAAAGGGAAGGGAAGAGGGAAAGAAGGGGGAAAGGGGAGAAGAAAGAGGGATTAAAAGGGATAAAAAAAAGAAAAAAACAGTGTGAAAAAGAAAAAGAAAATCGTGATGTAAAAGTCATCTAAGCTTTGTACAATGTATGTAACATCAATATATGTATGATCTCCTGATGAGCAAATAAATGATACCCAGTAAAAAAAGAAAAAGAAAAAAAAAAAGAAATATTTAACACAATTACAAAGAGAGGGAGCTTGGAGACGCACTCCCATCAGCGTTTAATACCTCAACACAACAGAAAGGAGGCCAAATACATCCACTAATTAGGTAAACAACACGCCGACTCGTCAATATTATCTAAAAAATCAAAGGCATGAACAGATTTTTAAGGTAAAATTATGCTTGAAGCAGCAGGAAAATAATTTATTTTACTCTGGGGGAGTTTAAATTGGAGCAACGTCCAATATTTGATTTTGAATGATGTAAAAAGAAGCAATAATTGTGAGTTTGATACAGATTTCTCAATGCAAATCAGCAAAGAAAATGAAAAACAACATAATTCAGAGGTCTGAAATGGCTTTTAAATGTGTTCAGATAATGAACACATGCTAAACGAATAACTGACAAAAAACAGTTAACATCGTTATTTCTCTAATTTAAACGGCAAAGCAATTATTAACCTAAGAAATTCAATACAATAGCTAAAGGAAAGTCTGAATATCAATTATGTATCTTCAACATTAACATAGTGGTACAAATTTTTAAAAACCAACATAATTTTGGTATTTTAAAAACATTTTTTGAAAAATTTGATATCAGAGTTGAAGAAATACTGTTTTCAATGTGCTGGAGTTGGAAGTGTGTAAAACTGTTGCCAGCAAAATAGTTGCCAATTGACTTCTATACTTCACAGATATATACTAAAAAAGAAAGATAGAAGATGTCTGAGAAAGAAACACCTTTTACAACATGCAGATGTGGTTGAAACCCCATAAAAACACACTTAAAAATACCAAAGAGTCAATCATTAAAGAAAATGAGTGAGTTCAAAGTGTGTTCTTTCCCTTTGGTGCTTCAAGTCTTTAAAATAGACAGAAATCTACTAAACGTTCATCATTTGAACAGAGATTGAACATGCTAATGCTAGTCTAATATCTTTAGCTTAGCAGTGATGCTATCAATAATGATGCATAACACAATCATAATCAGTACAATTACGACTGAAATTCACTAAACCTTGAAAATAGTTTGTCTGTAATTCAGACTAAAATAAATATGTAAAAACCGGTCAAATATACCGTACGTGCATGTAAAAATACCTCCATATAGGAGAAACCACTCCCTGC